TTAATATGATATTTTACTAGGTATTCTTTTTTTTCTTTTTTTTTTTTTGAGGCGGAGTTTCACTCTTGTTACCCAGGCTGGAGTGCAATGGCGCGATCTCGGCTCACCGCAACCTCCACCTCCTGGGTTCAGGCAATTCTCCTGCCTCAGCCTCCTGAGTAGCTGGGATTACAGGCACACGCCACCATGCCCAGCTAATTTTTTGTATTTTTAGTACAGACGGGGTTTCACCAGGTTGACCAAGATGGTCTCGATCTTTTGACCTTGTGATCCACCCATCTCGGCCTCCCAAAGTGCTGGGATTACAGGCTTGAGCCACCGCGCCGGGCCTTTACTAGGTATTCTTAATTCTGATATCAGGATTAAGATGGAGAGTACTTAGGCTGTTTGAAAATTACTTAATGGTTCTAAGATTTTTTCTCTAATGTATTTGTCAATAGTAAATAACTTTAATGAGTTTTTGTCTGAGCTTTTGTACTCAAGTATGGGAATCTGACCATCTATATCAATGCAATTATTCTGACAAAGTCTATAAATGGTAGAGCATCGTCTCAAATTCGGATGCTTTGTCCCATGGAAGGCAAGTTAAACATACCTTAAATGAACACACAGCTTAAGAACAGGATCCAGTTTTCAATGTAAATTTGTAATGCCTCCTATCCAAGAAAACTGGATGTGTGTGTGCCTGCACACGTGTACACACATATGTAGCAGCTGGCACACCTCATACATACATCACGTCCCGATCACAAAGATTTAAATGAAACACACATTCCAAAATCGTATTAATAACGTTACTGTAATGTTTTCCTAAAACAACTGTACAAACTTTGAGGTAATTGATTTAACCAAGGATGCTTATTCTATTAGCCAGTTATACCTCCTGTGTTCAGTCTGGTGGGTTTTGGCTCTTTCTTCTTCTTGCTGCTGCCGCTTACGTTCCAGTAATTCACTCTAGGAACAACACAAGCTTTAAAATACGGTTTTCAATTAACATGGTTGTACAGAAGACACCCAAGTCAATCACATGTTTAACCTCAGTGGGTACATTTCATTTCTGAAACTTCTACTTCAGTACTATTTGGATGTGAAATTATTTTCTTATATAAGTAGGTAGCAAAACAAGTGTGGCTTAGTCAATCAGAATAGCTCTGTGAGTGTAAAATTGTTAGATTAAAAGCCAATGTACATGGTCAAGATACTAGACCAACAGGTACAACGCGGAGAAAAATACAATGTAAGGCAAACTCCTCTATGTCTTACAGAGAAAAACAAATCAAATTAGTTCCTTCAGGAATATCACACAATACTATTTCTTGGTATTTCTCTAGCATTTCTTTCCTAATAAATCATAGCAACATACAAATAAATACTGGACTCAATCTTTTAGTGTAATTCTGTTAGTTAAACATTCTCCTTCCTGGATAATAAGCACTCACCTATTACTGATTAGTTACTTCTAACACCACCAGAACTTTGGGATCTCTAGAGGAGATACTTTGGTTCAGATAAATCACATTATTATAACTAAATCTTTCGTTTCCAACAGTCTGCTTGTCTTCTCGGAAGAGGCAACTTAACCTCCAAACCCAGTTACTATGTTTTCATTATGATACCAAAGACCAAATCCCAGGATTTCTCTAATACCCAACTGTCTTCCCTACGGCAAAATAAATTTTAATCCCATTTCAAAGACAGAAAAATGCAAAGAGAGGAAAATCATTAGGCCCAAGTCATATAGCAGTGCCTGAGTCAGAGAGATTTTCTTGTAGAGAACATAGTGTCATGTCTTAATCAAACATACGAATAAAAGGTTGCCATTGTTTTAACTCCTAATCTTCCTTGATGAAAAGTATAAAATAAACTCAAAGTTCAGGCTGACATTTTGTTAACTTTGTTCAAAGATCCTCTAATATTCCACAGTCCCCCAAAATCAAAAGACTTGTTTCTCATACTGCGATATTCCAAATAAATTGCTCATAAATCCCTAAAGCACATTACTTAACCCTAATTCCTATATAACACCAACAAGGGGAAATCCTTGAATAATATTTGAGTTTTTGAAAGCCATGAATAATATTTGTCCACTCAAGCGTTTATTATGCACCTAGATGCCAATCTTTATCCTCAATTCTCACTTTTGCACAATAGGATAGTTTTTTTAATAGTCTACCAAGTATTAGTATTCCTTATTAGTACTACTATGGCTTATACCAATGTGAAGGAAGCCCCTGTCCTCTCACTCATCTCCACAGTCATTTCAGTTCCTGCATGTGGCTCATCTGCGATTATCTTCTTGATAGTATGCAAAGCCGTTTCTTAATTTTTTTAAAACAGCATCATCTTTTGACCACCTATAATGGAAAAAATTGATGTCTCTATTACTACCTCCACCCTCATCCCAACTTCCGCTCATAGTTACACCCTCATCCTTATTCTCTTACGACTTTTTTTTTTTAGACAGAGTTTCGCTCGTTACCCAGGCTGGGGTGCAATGGCGCAATCTCGGCTCACTGCAACCGCCGCCTCCTGGGTTCAGGCGATTCTCCTGCCTCAGCCTCCTGAGTAGCTGGGATTACAGGCATGCGCCACCATGCCCAGCTAATTTTTGTATTTTTAGTAGAGACGGGGTTTCACCATGTTGACCAGGATGGTCTCAATCTCTTGACCTCGTGATCCACCCGCCCCGGCCTCCCAAAGTGCTGGGATTACAGGAGGCGTGAGCCACTGCACCTGGCCACAACTTTTCTTTTTTAACAACATTCAGTATGGTGGGAGAGGGATCTAGAAATCCTGTAGCTCCGCATTCAAGTTTCTAAGTAATCCTCCTATTATCAACCCTGGGCTTCAAAGGTACCAGGTGCCTCTGATTCCTGAACTTAACCAACGTGTGTCTTACTGCTTTTTGCAAATGAGTTCTGGCTTTTCCTCCTCCACTAAATCAATTACCATTGACCATCTAGTTCCAGAATTAAAATTTTGGCTTATATCTTTCCTGCAGTCTACTAGTCTGTTCTTTTGTTCTTGTTGGCTTATGGCTATTAAAAAAATTCATGTATGGTTAGTGGTATATATCACATATACCATACATACCAGTAACCATATAGGAATTTTTTGTAAAAAAGAGAATGATGAAACATAGGCAAATGAAATGCTTTTGATGTGCAATGTTTAACCAGAAAACCGTAATATTTTCAAATAAAAGTTTTACCAGAATTTTATTATTTGATTCTCACAAAATTGCAAAGGCAGGCAGGCAAATGAAGTATTATGTGATAAATGAATGAGCAATATCGTCCTCACCCCACTGATGAGGAAATGGGATCAGAGACACAATTTTAGTAACTTGTCAACAGCTAAATAGCTTATTAGAAGCAAAATAAATACCAGGGCTTACATTTTCTTGTATCTAATAATCCTCTGCAGGATGTATTCTAAGTAAACGATTGGAATTAAGGATATCTTCATGGTGGTTCATCATACTTACGTATAAACAGTCATTTCCAGAACCATAGGACCCATCCACATTCAAAAGTTTTAGCAGAATATATGTAACCTAAGCACAAATCTAAATCCTTCTGGCCAAGGATGCTGATTATTTTCACATTCATTAACCTTATTTCTCCAAGGAGCAACTTCTGGTATCTGGTCCATTGTGAGTTTAAGACAATGAACTCTGAACAAACTAAACTCTCATTAGTTCCGAAGTATGACACAAAGACAAAAAAAAAGTATGAAATACATATATATGCATATTACGACATGTTACTTTAAGATACTTTTTTCAGACTTGGCAAAATAATCATGAAACTTGTTTGAGGAAAAAAATGCAATCATAGCCATAAAAAAATCCTGAAAAAGGAAACAAAAAATGAGGAAGAACCAGCTTCATCACACATTAAAAGATACCACATGAGAACACATGGATGGGAAGCATCATGCACTGGGGCCTTTGGAGTGGAGGATGTAGGGAGAGGGAGAGCTAATGGAATGCTGGGTTTAATACCTAGGTTTGGGTTTATCTGTGCAGCAAACCCCATGGCACGTTTACCTATGTAACAAACCTGCGCATCCTGCACATGTATTCCCGAACTTAAAAGTTGAAGGCAAAAAACATATGATAAACTATAGTAATTGAAACAACTTGAGTCCAGGAAGAGACATGATACATCTGGAAAGGTAGTTTATCATAAAGTTGTGCTAAACCAGTGCAGGAGAGAGTTCCATGAATGATGATGGACAAGCCAACTACTGCAAGAAAGATCAGAACTAGTTCCCTAATTTGATTAAATAAATTTTACAGAAATCTAAGATTTGAGCCTGGAAGATGGGAATAGAAGTTTTCAAAGGCAGCACAGGTGAATTTATTTATAAACTTGGGAGTGAGGAAGATCCAGAAATTATAAAAAGATTGATAAATTAGGCTGTATGAAAATTCAAACCTTTCATTTGGGGAAAAATACCATCAAATTTAAAAATGAACTGTGAATGAACATTCAGGATATGCATAGGCTAATTCAATTTTCTTTTATTCATTCATTAAATATTTGAGTATCTCTTATGAGGCGGGCTTGGATCTACATGATAGGCTACAGTAGTGAGCAACATAAATGAGATCCTTGCTCCTTTAGAGTTTATATTCCACAGAAACTCAACCCATAAACAAGTGGGAAAAATATCCGACCATAATCCCATACAGAGGATCCAAACACACTGATGTAAGATTCGGTGGCTCGGTGACTATTTTAGGTTGAGACTCAGGAAATGTCCCAGAAAGTGGGTAAAGACTTCGCATGAATCAATAAGGAAAAAACACCCAAACAGAAAAAGGGCCAAGGGATAAGAACAGGCAGTTTGCAGGTAAACTACAGGTTGCCTGTCAGTTCAAAATGGTCATTATCTTCACTCAAAATCAAAGAACTATCAAAACAATGAGATAAAACGTTTCTATTGTACTGACAAAAATCAGAGAAGTTTGACCAAAAAAAAAAAAAAAAAACCTCTGGTATAGTATCTAAATTAGTAAAAACTAATCTAGTTTTTGGAGGTCAATTTAGCAATAAGCATCAAAATGTAAGACATGTACATCCCTTGCAGAACTGTTCAAATTTGTATGTATACAGATATTCACAGTTATATTATTGAAACTTTAAAAGTTCAGGGAAGAATGTTAACGCACATCGACAAAAAGCTTGTGTAGTAAGTGAGACCATCAGCACAATGAAATACAATGAGACAGTTACAAAGAATAAGGTGACTCTTCTGTGAGGTTGAGCAGGAGCCTCATGGAGAGATCTCTAAGATACACTAAGTGATAGATAGAAAACAGGTTCAGAGCCATTTTCTTGGGACGCTTCTATATAAATAGAAAATATATGCATAGGTCCATTTCAACTTTTATATGCTGGTATATATCTAAAACATCGAATGAAAAATGACACGAGAAAATGTTAACTGTAATTAACACTGGGTAGCGGCACTTGGAGTGTGAATGGGTAAGACAAGGTGCTTTACTAACTTACATAGCTTTTTGACTTCTGAACCGTGTGCATGTTATTTCTTCATACCATTCGTAGGAATTTATTGTCAGTGTGAGAGGCCATTTCTGTTTCCTTACACTTTCCTTATTTAAAAATCCCAATAAATATGTAATTTTTAACACAGAGAGATATAAAAGAGCAAAACACTACATATGAAGCTAAGAACTGTTAGGGAGGAAGAAAAGAAGAAGGGAAGAGAGCAGCATACATCATCCTATTACAGAGGCAAGAACAGGGGAGAAGAGATCAAGACCAGGAGGGAAACGGGGACGGGAGCTGATGAGGCATCACCATGCAAGGACACTGCTCCAGATGGCCAAAGGGAAGGTGCTGGCATCACTGCATTCAGGATGATTATCTTATAACTAGCAAAGCGTATTTACTAAGGAGAGGCTGCTTTTTCCTTCCGTGCTAAGAAGGATAATTTCAGCTGATTAATTTGTTCTGCTGATCTGACAGTCACCGAGGATGTGTCTGCATGCCTTATAAGCATATTCTTGGTTCATTTACTGAGTTCCCACCCAGAAGTTCCATATCTAGAGTTCAGCAAATAAAAAATTCAGCAAATAAAAAATAAGTTGTTCTTGTTTCAAGGATCAAGCTTGGGACATGAAAAGAACCAAAGTGCCCTAAGCAGGAGGGCAATGACATGCAACATCTGAGACATTGTTAAGGCCTGGCCTACTCAATGCATATTGTCACACACCAACCATTTTCCAGATACCTAGGTTCATGCTGAAGGTACAGATATCAGCTCCACCCTGAAGTCAGTCACAGTATAATGAGGCAGACAGACCCAGAAACAACACTGATACAAGGCAAAAAGAAATGCATTGCTAGCGCCTGTAATCCCAGCACTTTAGGAGGCCGAGGCGGGTGGATCACGAGGTCAAGGGATTGAGACCATCCTGGTCAACATGGTGAAACCCCATCTCTACTAAAAATACAGAAAAATTAGCTGGGCATAGTGGCGCGTGCCTGTAATCCCAGCTACTCAGGAGGCTGAGGCAGGAGAATTGCCTGAACCCAGGAGGCGGAGGTTGCGGTGAGCCGAGATCGCGCCATTGCACTCCAGCCTGGGTAACAAGAGTGAAACTCCGTCTCAAAAAAAAAAAAAAAAAGAAAAAGAAATGCATTGCTAGACACAACTTCGAGCTACGCGACATGGGAATACAAGGAAGAAATGCAAACAAGAGAAGGGTGTTCAATGCTTTTTGTCCATGCATGCCTTATCACTGCGCTGCACAAATCCCTACATTCACACAGAGCTGCGTACAAAAGAGGGTACTTTGGTGATATAATAAACAAACCACCGTCTTGGAGACTGCAAGTGTGGAACTTCCTATAAACATTGGCCAAGTGTTATATGGTGAATGAGGACAACTCTGCATATAGCCACTGCCTGTGGCCACCCTGCTGATGCAGTGCCCACCCGGGAGGGCTGCTCTGCTGGGGAGCCGCAGGATGGCACCCTTACCTCTGCTTGGAGCCCAAGCCAACAATAAGAAGAGGGGTTGCCATTTCCAGCAAGAGGTGCAAACATCATTTGTCTGGGCTCCAACTGTCTGGCGGTGCCCTGTTCCACAGCAGGGTCAACTATACAACAGACAGGTGTGTGTAAGGCTGGAGGCATGAGAAAGCTGACAAGTTTAGAGGGAAAGCATGCTCCAAAGCAAAGCTTCAGTTTAGTAATTGAAGATGAACATGGGGTCATTTTAAAACCATGTCTGAATCCCAGCAGAGTGTGTTCCAACAAGGTTCAGCTTGACTGCTTTATGTAAACACGAAAATGCCATCGCCCGGCAGGACAAACTCCTCTCAGGAGAGGACGTTCTCTCAACACAAGAGGAAAAGCATAGTGGAAGCAGGAGAGCTGAGGCCAAGTTCAAGAACGCCTTCCTTTGAAGGTTTAATACAGAAGAGCTTTCAGGGATGAGGGTTTAAAGAAGTCCTAATTCTCGGGTATTCCACAGTAATGCCTCTGCCTTGAAGAGGAAAGATGGCCTTGGTTATCAAGAATGGGGAGAAAAGGAGAAGCTACCACCCAGCATTTACAGAGAACCAACCAAATCAAAGGACATAAATAGGAATGGATGAAGTAGAGTTCAAAAATAACACAAGTAATGTATACTCTCCTCTTGTTAGTTTTTAATTTTTTAGTTTTTTTAATTGATACTTTGTACATATTTATAGGATACAATTTGATATTTTGATACATATATATGTTGTAAAATGATCAAATCAGGGCACTTAGTGTGTCCACAATCTCAGTGAGAATATTCCAAAGCCTTTTATCTTGCTGTTTTGTAATGTACAATATCTTACAGTCAACCACAGTCAACCTACTGTATAACAGAACATTAAAAGTTATTCCTCTCATCTAATTGTAACTTTGTACTTGCTGTTACTAGTTCTATCATTTTAACATAAAGAGAAATAAGCTTCAAGCTACAATAATCATGGAATCACAGCTCTATATCTCCCACCTAAAAATACTTCCTATCAACCTCCTTCTAACTTTTAAAAGTGTATTTTCTCATAGAAGTTATTTATCATAGAAAATATAGTACATATAGCAACTGTAAAGAAAAACATAATAATCACCCATAAAAACACCCCTCCCAAAGATGAACTCCTTTAAGATGTCAGTGTATTTCCTTGTTGCCTTATGTACTTATCACGTTGGGTCACATTTTCAGGTTCAGCATGTGCCAGGCATTAGGATACGCCGTCTACATGATTTCTCTCATTTGAGCCTAGAAACAATGTTGTGAGATAAAGAACCTCACTATCAAAATAGATGAGGCTTTAAGAGATGAAGTATTCTGCACAAAATCCAAGGAGGAGGCAGGTTTCAAAACTGATCTGCACTCTATTTTATAATCTTCGTTATTTTCATATATGTGAGCATATTTCTATTCTGTTATCAAAATATGGTAGTAATTGCTGCATGGTATTTATTCCAGACTCCAAAACCTTCACATCTTCTATCACTGAACAAACTGTTTCAAATTTTCCATTACTCTTATTTTTCAAAAAACAACCTTGTACATATGTCTTGTGAGCATCTCTCATTATTTCCTCAGAATATATGTAAACCTGTAGATCTCATATTTTTACTTTTCGGAAACTCTTCAGAATTTGACATTGCCAAAGTGCCTCTCAGTTTATCCTCTCACCAGTAGTAGTACTTGAGTGTTTGTGGTCTATATTAATATCTACTAGTGGAAGTTCTCCTTATCCCAGCAAAGACAGAAATTATTATTCATATTCTTCTAAAGTGTCTTGTTTAAATTTCATTATTTTCACAGTTGAAATTCAGAAATAGTATTTTCAAATTACCTCAAATTCCACTGAAATTTATTACTAGAATGCATTAAGCTTACAAGTAAATTTGGATAGAACTACAGTGACTGAAATGCTGAGTTTTGGCACTCAGGAACACTAGCCATCTCTGCTTTGTTCAAATGGACTTTTATGTATAATAACCAAAATAGCATGGTACTGGCATAAAAACAAACATATAGACCAACGGAACAGAATAGAGCATCCAAAAATACACCCACACATGTAGGGGCAACTAATTTTTCCCAAAGGTGCCAAGAACATACAATGTGGGGGGGGAAGGACAGTCTCCTCAATAAATGGTGGTGAGAAAACTGAATATCCACATGCAGAAGGATGAAATTAAGCCCTTATCTCTCATCACATACAAAAGAAAAAAACTCAATTTGACAGTTTTCACAAAAGGCATTAGCAAAAGTCAACTCAAAATGGATTAAAGACTTTAAATGTAAGACCTGAAATATGAAAGTACTAGAAGAAAATATGGTGGAGGCTGGGTGCAGTGGCTCATGCCTGTAATCCCCACACTTTGAGAGGCTGAGGCAGGAGTTTGAGACCAGCCTGGACAATATGGTGAAGCCCCGTCTTACTAGAAAGATGGTGGCACACACCTGTAATCCCAGATACTTGGGAGGCTGAGGCATAAGAATTGCTTGAACCCCAAAGGTGGAGGTTGCAGTGAGACAAGATCGTTCCACTGTACTCCAGCCTGGGTGACAGAGTGAGACTCTGTTTCATTAAAAAAAAAAAGAAAAAGAAAAAGAAAATATGGTGGAAAAGCTCTATGACATTGATCTGGGCAAAGATTTTTTTGGATATGACTTCAAAAGGACAGGCGACAAAAGCAAAAACTGACAAATGGATTACATCAAACTGAAAAGTTTCTACACAGCAAGGAAAATAACAGAGTAAAGAGACAATCTGCAGAATGGGAGAAAATATTTGTAAACTATATATCTGATAAGGGGTCAGTATCCAAAATACATAAGGTACTCAAAACAACTCAATAGCAAGAGAACAAATAACGTGATTTTTAAAATAAGCAAGAAGGGCCAGGCGTTGTGGCTCATGCCTATAATCCCAGCACTTTGGGAGGCCGAGGCGGGTGGATCACCTGAGGTCAGGAGTTCAAGACCAGCCTGTCAACATGGTGACACCCCGTCCCTACTAAATATATGACAAAAATAGCTGGGCTTAGTGGTGGGCGCCTGTAATTTCAGTTACTCAGGAGGGTGAGGCAGGAGAATTGCTGAACCCGGGAGGCGGAGGTTGCAATATGCCAAGATCATGCCATTGCACTCCAGCCTGGGCAACAAGAGTGAAACTCTGTCTCAATAAATAAATAAATAAAATAGGCAAATGCCTGAGTAGATATTTCTCAAAAGAAGACATACAAATGGCCAACGGGTATATGAAAAAATGTTCAACATCTCTAATCATCAGAAAAATGCAAATTAAAACCACAATGAGCTATCATCTGACCCCCGTTACAAGGCCTAGAATCAAAAAGGCCTAAAGATAACAATGCAAGGACGTGGAGGAAAGGGAACCCTTACACGCTGCTTGCGGGGTGTAAGTTAGCACAGCCATTATGAAAAGAGGAATAAGGTTTCCTCAAGAAAATTAAAGACAGAAGTACCATATGACCCAGCAATCCTACTGCTGGGCGTATATCCAAAGGAAATGAGCATGTCAAAGAGCTGGCTGCACCCCCACGTTTACTGCAGCCAAGATAAGGAATCAACCTAACTGTCCATCAGCAGATGGGCAGATAAAGAAAATGTGGAATCTATACACAATGGAATATTATTCCACCATAAAAAGAAGGAAATCTTGTCATCTGCAACACCATGGAAGAACCTGGAGGACATTATGTTAAGTGAAATAAGCCAGGCACGGAAAGACAAACACTACGTGATGTCATTTGTTGAAGGACTTTTGAAAACTGATCTCATAGAAATAGAGAGTAGAGTTACCAGAGGCTGGGGTGGTTAGGAGGAAATGGGGCATGGTGAAATGCTGGTCAAGAAATACATAATTACGGTCAGGTGTAGCGAATACATTCAAGAACCTACTGTACGGAAAGGTTAACGGCAGTAGTTATTCTTAACGGCAAAAAATAATAATGACAGAGTCTTGAAAATGCAAAGAATGTGAAGTGCTCTCACCACAAACATGGTAACTCTGTGAGGTAACGCACTAATTAGCTAGACTTAGCCATTTCATGTTTATATACTTCAAAACATCATGCTGTACATTAGAAATATGAATAATGTTTTCTGTCAATTAAACATGGACTTTTGTGGATTCCAGCAAAGTTTTAAATTTTGTTTTAGCTGTTGAACAACTATTTCATAGTGGCTTTTTGGTTATTTTTGTCCCATAATATATTTTCTAATTAATTTTTGCTTGTATTTGAGAAAGTTGTTGATTCTTGTATGTATTTTGTAACCAACTCTTTTTTTTTTTTGGCTTACTGCAACCTCTGCCTCCCAAGTTCAAGTGTTTTTCATGCCTCAGCCTCCCAAGTAGCCGGGATTACAGGTACCTGCCACCGTGCCCGGCTAATTTTTAGTAAAGATGGAGTTTCACCACCATAGCCAGGCTGGTCTCGAACTCCTGACCTCAGACGATGCACGTGCCTCAGTCTCCCAAAGTGCTGGAATTACAGACCAACTCTTTTGATAAATCTATTTGTTCTCATCATTTTTCAGTTGATTATCTCAGTTTGCACAGGCAAATTGCTCCCATCCATAAATAACAACCTACTTCCAACAATTAGAAAATCTCCTTTATTTTCAGTTTTATCAAGTTCGTTAAAAAATACCCAAAGCTTGTTCCATTCAGTAAAACCAGGGATTTTCTTTTTAGTTAAGAAAGAAGTTTTCTATCAGATAACTTTGACTAGCACAAGGCTGGAATTTCCAGAATAATACCGGCTAACATCTAGTTTGGTAGGGGTTACAAACATCCTTGTGTTGTTGTTCATAGTTTTAGTATTTTACCACTGAAAATAATGTTGGTTATTGGTTTAGAAGACCATATGTATGTTAAGAAAATCATGTCTCTATTTCACTGGTGTTTTCTAATTGATAGTAGAGATTAAAATTTATCAATGTCTTTTTGTGTAACTAAAGAGATAACCAATATTCTTGTCTCATGACCTATCCTATTGCAGTGATAAGATATAAAAGGTTTTAATATGTAACTAGTCATCTTTGCATTCCTGGAATAAATCCTACTTTGCCTTGGTAAATTGCTATTTAAGAAAAAATTTCATTAGCTAGAATTTGCTTTCAGATGTGAATCTCTGTCTTTATGAGATTGGTCTATCTGTAAGAGAAAGAGAGAGAGAGAGAGAGAGAGTGTGTGTGTGCACGCGCATGTGTGCGTGCGTGTGCGTGTGCGTGCACATACCTGAACATGCACATGTGCATGCTTCCTTTATCAGATTATGACATCATGGGGATAGTGAAATAAAATTCTAAAATGTTTTGTCATTTTTCTTGCTCTGAAATAATTTGTAAAGCACAGGGGAAAAAAATCTGTTCCTTGAAAATTTGAAGGAAGTTGCCTCTAAAATTATCCAAGTTCAGCCTCTTGGGGGGACTAATTCTCAGAAAACTTTAGAAATCACTTGCATTTTCATTTGTCTTTATGTATTTTAATTATGTCTTTTCCTAGAAAGTCATTCACTTAATCCAGATTTTTAATTTCTCATAGCACTGTCTATAGTAACATAATTTTAATCTTTTCCAAATCCATGGTTCTAGTCCCTCATTTCTAATGCTGTGTATTTGCATTTTTACTAATCTCTTCTTGATTAGTCTTACCAAAGATGTGTTCATTTGTTGACCTTATCAAAGAACAAGCTGTTGGATTTTTATACCAGCTGCTTCGTAGAGTTTTATTATTAATTTCGGTTCTTATCTTAATTACTTTCTTCAGGATCATTTATTGTTTTTCTTCTAAGTTCTTGGATTAGATGCTTAATTCACTTAGTTTCTTTTTTTAGTACTGAATGGATTAAAAGGTTATAATTTTCTTTGAATACAGCTTTACATGAATTCCCTATAAAAGGCTCTCGCTGTAATTTTGTATGTGTTCTACAGTAATAATTTTTATTTTCTGACTTTCAGTATTTTACTGATTCTTTTATATATTTTGTCTATAAAATAAATGACCTTCTAAATGACTATAAAACCAATAACCATGCACAATCAATATGTGCAATCAGCTTATCAGATATTTTAAGAAATTTCTGAAAGGGAGAAGGAGACAGGTTACATTACAAGGGAAAACCAATGTGCAGGATAAATTGGCGCTAAGCCCACCTCTTTCTGAAAGAGCTCCAGGAAAGGAAACTGAGACCGTCATTAAGATGACCTGTTAGAAAACTGCACAGAGAGCG